AGTGGGTGACGTCTCACCTCGCTGCAGCAGGAAGTCTCTTCCTGGAAGTATCAAAGCCAAACCTAAAGAAAGGAATACAGAATATGTGAAAATAAGTGCATGCATGACAATAGAAATACTGACTTAACATCATGCTTTTAAAAATTGGTTTAATTTCAAACCTCAAATTTAAGGGCAAAAATACACTTTTTTGGTGTGAATGTAAATGGGTGAAACCTCTGTGGAAAACAGTATGGAGTTTCCTCCAGAAATTGAAGAGAACTGCCATACAATCCAGCAATCCCACTACTGGGGTATATCCAAAGGCAATAAAAACAGAATATCCAAGAGTGTCTGCATTCCCGCATTCATTGCCGTATTATTCACAGGGGCCAAGATATGGAAACAAGCTAAGTGTCCATCGGTAGATGAATGCATAAAGATGGTGTGGTATATATACAGATACAATGGGACACCTCTCAGCCATTCAGTAAAGAATGAGATTTTGCCATTTGCAATAACATGGATGGGCTTGGAGGATATTATGCCGAGTGAAATAAACGGAAGGATAAATATGACATCACTTATTTGTGGAATCTTGAAACAGAAAAAAAGAAAGAAATAGATAAAGTGGTTGCAGGGGGATGTGGGAGAGGTTGGAAAACATGTACAAAGTTTTACCTCTAAAATAAATACAGTCTGAGGATCTAATATAAAACATGCTGATTATGGTTGGTGACACTAGAATGTACGGTTGAAATTTTCTGAAAAATGAGAATTTGAAAGTTCTTACCAAAAAAGGTAAGTATGTGAGGTGATTGTTGTGTTGATTTACTAGATGGGGGAATCTTTCACAATGTCTGTCAAATCACCACAAGGTCCACTCTCAATATTTTATATTTTATATTTATATATACCTTATATGTCAATTATACCTTAGTAAAGCTGCAATTTTAAGGGAAAAAATTAGGATAAATCCTAAGAAAGAAAAAGGGGAACTATCTAACTGAACTAAAAGGAAATTGGCAAGTTTGAAAAGAAATGAGTTAAGCACTCAACTCAAGAAACAGGATACATTAAACTCAAAGGTAAATTTAAAATAGGAAAACAAAGATGGGGCTGAAACCACTGCAAAAAATACCCCCAAAAAACAAAACCTCAAGAAAATGATACCCCAGTGTGCGGTTCTTTTTCTCTCTGAATATATAGGTAGACAGACAGCTAGATAGACATACACAACTACACTCACTTTAAGCTTGTGATTGAAAAATAACTCTTAGGCTCACAGGCACTAATACTAGAAATAAAGTGACCTACCTGCTACCAACAAAATTCAGATTCCAGGCAGAGGTATTCAGGGACCCAGAGAGATGGTGCTCCCTTGGCAGCAGCGTCCACATGCAGACCCCGTCCTGGTGGCCGCAGCTTTATACCTGAGCAGTGCTTTAATTTCATCAGCACCAATCAACGAGAATCACGTGATGGGGGTTCCGGCTCCTCAGCCCGCTTTGTCCAGCCCCTGCTGCTTTTTTAAACCAATCTTAGAGCGAACTAAGAAGTTAAAAAGAAAAGGAGTCGGATAGTCAAAGCATGCCAAAATTAAACAAAAGAAACCCGATCTAACAGCAATTAATATCAAATGTATTTATAAGATTAAAGATTGACATCTCAAAGTTATAAGAAAGAAAATTTCACAAGGTAAATGTTACAGTGATGCACTTTATGTGCCTAGCCACATAGCACTGACACATACACCACAAGCACTGAGGATTTTAAGGTAACGCGGACATATTTGAAATCGTGGTGAGAGGCTTTTTTGAACACCTTTCTCTCAGAAACTGAGAGATGAGCAGAGAAGAAAATTAAGAATGCTATAGAACTTTAAGCAACAAATTTAACCATCTTGATTATATAACTGGCAACACCCACATAGCAAAATGGAAAATGCTATTCAATATATAGAAAACTTTTATAGGAATTTACCGCTAGAAGATCGCAAAATAAATATCAATAAAAATTCCATAGAATCAACATATTGAACACAATCTTGATCACAGTGAAATAAAGTTGAAAATCCACAATTAAGAAACTGAATTCAAGCATATTTATTACAAAATTAATATCCACCGAGTATCTACATTAACATCCACGTAATAGCTAAAACTCAGTTGATTTTTACATTGAATGCAAAAGATTAGCAAAAACAAAGCAAGAAAAAGAATTATGCACAAGAAAAGGAAAGATAAAAATAACGATGGAATGGTTGAAAAAACAAAAGGGAAAACAACCATATGCCAAAATAGAAATGTCGCTAAAACAGAAATCTGATACCTGAAAGTAAAATAAAATAAAGAACTGGCTATGCTGATAAAGTTTCCAGGGCTGGAGCGGGAAGTACACAGCATGAGCGTGGAGCATCTTACAGCACTTGAAATTAAGGGCCTGTTAGCAACAAGTACAGTGATGTGGGCACCTCAAAGGGGCACAGGAATCAGAAAACAGCCCCAATGGCTGAAGCTAAAACAATTTCAGCAACAAAATAATGAAAGTAGTGTCCAATGTTGACCCAAAGCTTAAAATATATCTGAGTTCATGCTGTTATAAAGGGTTGATGAAATTAAAATGGAGAAGAGACAAATAACCTCTTCTGCAGAATATCCCAAATAAATTATGTAGTACTCCACCCCAAAGGAAGAGAGTGTGGCCCCCTGCTCCCTGAGTGTGAGCGGCAGGTAAAACGTGGCTAGTGGGGTAGGGGGAGGGGGAGGGTGTGATTTTATAGAGGACCCAGCCAAACACTGTTCCAGCCAAATCTATGTCAAGAGTCAAAGATTACCTGGACACTATTGGTCCTTGATGTGATGTGATTAAATGTGATACAATTATCTCTGTAATCCTTTCAGGAAAAATGCATAAACCCAAGACAAACGTAAGATTTAAAGCCTCAGACAAATTCCAGTGGGTGGGCATCCTACAATATACCCGACCAGTAGTACCCCAGAATGGTCATATTTCTGTTTAAATATTTTGTCAAAAACAAGGAAGAGTGAGAATCTGTTAACAGCAAGAGAAAACTAAGTAGACATGAAAACTACACCTAATTTGGTGTTCATATGAGACTTTGGAACAGTAAGAGGACACTGGGTAAAAACTGAGGAAGTCTGAACAGTCTTTGATAATAATAACATCTTGATCCTGGTTCATTAATTGCAATAAATGTACCATAGGAATTAAGATGAAATAGGGGAAACGTCAGTGGGGTAGATTGGGGATTCTCTGAACCATGTGCTCAACTTTCTGTAAATCTAAGACTGTCCTAAAAGAAATTAGATATTTCTAAAAATCATAAAGTAAATAATAAAAAGCATGAGATGACATCAATGAACATTATTAGGATAAAAAAATTAGAAATATAATCTAGATTTTTGAAACAATGTCCAAAACAAGACATTATAAACCAAATGATTCTATGAACCACTACATGACAGTATGTTAGTGCATTTTTAAAAACATTTTAAAATTATGAAATACAAAGTATTTGTAGGAATCTATAAAGTATATATGGACCTTCAACAAACGACTATACAGTGACCAGAAGTGGAACAACGCCTGGGTCAAGAGATCCAACGTTGCCAGGCGCCGGGCAGCCTGGCTCGTGCTTTCAGCCTCCTACACTGACCTTATCCTAACTGCTCGCAGAGTAATTTTTTTCTTTTCTTTTTAAATTTTTTTATTTGTGTAGTAATCTTAATAAATATTTAAAAAATAAAAGTGTGTCTAGATTTGCAAACTTTCTATGACCATATATAAAAACAACTGTTTTTATGAACTTTAATATATTCCTTTGTGTATTTGTTTCATCCTTTATATTGCAGCATGTACGTGGACTTTGTTCTGTTTGG